TATATATATATATATATATATATATATATATATGTTTATATATGGGGGTACTACAATTGAAGAAAAGTGAAAAGATAATAAAAGTATGTTATCAGGGATTAGAAGAATATGAAAAATGGGGGTTTCCCTGTCTAGAGAGAGTGATCGTGTCCCCGCGATACATATCCAACTGGATCCATAACCCCAAAGAGGGGAAAAAAAAGATAAGAGAGAGAGACATATATATATATATTTATATTTATATTGAGAGGGAGAAACTATCTCCTCACATGTGGGTGAAAATAAAATATTGTACTATCTTTAAAATAGAAAAAAAAAAACTAGAAAACATGTGAAGAAAAAAAAAAAAGGATAGATAATAGAAGAAGGAGAAAAACAAAAGAACAAAATGAATGAGGATTTTTTAACTTTTTCTCTCCTTAACTCTTCTTCTGCCTCTTTTTTACTGTATATATATATATATATATATATTCTTCTTCATAGTTGTGTGTCCGTGTAACTTTTGTTTGTACTCTTTTTCATTTCCCATTGTTTTGTTTTTCCGTTTTTCCGGCACACATGCAGTCAACAGCGAACAGGAAAGGTATAAGCTGTAAAGAGAAAAGAAAAAAGAAAAAATAAATGACTAGACAAGGGCGAGAAATCAGGAGAATTGTAGAAAAATTAAAAAAAAAAAAATGCTATGAAATAAAACAACATATGGCTCGTGAATAAAGGAAAAAATAATAACAACTAGAGAGCTTTGGAGGGGACAAAAGGAAAATAAAAACAGCAAGTGTATTGGCTGGTAATATTTCACATAACTTGTTTTCTTTTTACTTTTTTTTTTTTCTTTTCTTTCTTTCTCTTCCTTCTCGTTTGATTATTTATTGTTTTTTTTTTTTTTTTTTTCAGTGGTCATTGATCACTGTCTGTTAGCACATACCACAGAATGGGTGTGGCTCACTCACTCACTCACTCACTCACTCTCTTTATACTGCCTGATATATATATATATATATATATATACATCTTGTAAAGGAATGTATAATTTCTTCTGATAAAAACAAACAAGAGAAATTAAAATAAAGAAGGAAAAGAAGAAATGAGGAGATTTGAGGGGGAAAAAAAAGAAAGGGGGTATTCAGCAGCAAATAACAAACGCAAAAGATATATTCATGTACTTTATGTATATATGTATATAAAGTATATGGATATGAACACAGGGACTCCTAAGAAAGAAAGAAAAAAAAAAAAAAACACAAGACTGCTGATAAAAACAGTGTTCATGTTGAAAAATTACAATTTCAACATATTTAACGTGGTCTTTAAAGCCACGCTATCATTATAGTATTCCTTTTCCTTTTTTTTTTCTTTTCTTTTATTTATGGTTTATTGAATTTCTTTCTTTTTTTTTCTCCCCACATTTAAAGGCAGTAGAGGGAAATGTGCTATCAATGACTGGAGATATTTTTATTATTCTCTATTCAATTTTTTTACTGTGTTATGAGTCATTTTCGTTTTTTTTTTTTTCTTCTTTTGTATTCTGTTTGAGTTTGGAATCTATTCAAAAAAATGATAAAAAATAAAAAAAAGTGCGTGGGAAAAAGAAAAGACAGAAAAAATAATAATAAAATAAAAAGGCGTTTCGTGAATATATATAAGAGCGGAAAGGGGCGAAAGGAAGAGAAAAACAACAAAAAAAAAACGGCTTATTTTTTTTTTTTCACATTCATTGTCAGAGTTCAATGCAACTGTTTTTATTATTATTAATATCATGTTTTCACAAGATGAAAGTGTGCGAAAAGGGAAAAAAAGGGATTATTATTCTAGTATGTATATATATATATATATATATATATAT